ATATATATATATATATATATATATATATATATATATATATATATACAGGGTGTAAAAGAATTAGGCCGACAAACTTTGAGGGGAAATAGAGGACATAAAAACAAACATGTTTTGTTATTAGTGTTTTTCTCTACGACAATTAACGAAAACCATCTTTTGTGGTATTTTTGCATTTTGGAATGCAACAATAGCTAGGCATCTTTCAAGAATTTTTTTTGTATCACTACGTCGGGTATCACATGTGCATGCACATGACAGATATACACATCACACGCGCACCGCCGCCATTTTGTTGTAGGGTGTCATGGTTGAAACCGGAAATCCTGCCGGTCACATCTCTTTTGACGAAGTTAGCGATCTAGTACTAGTATAGACATCTGTGAATACAGCATGTAATGTGCTAATAAAGACTAGCAACACTTGATATTTTTCAGTGAAAAAATATATTTAACGAAGGTAAAACATAGTCCATATAATAGAAAGCTAGTCGCTATTTATGTGCTAAATGTTGTCGCCATATACAGAAGAGAGAAGAACATTCACCATTTACACATATCACCAATAATCTACGCATTCCACTAGAACTTTTTGCGCAGTCCACTACGATAAATACGATACGTAGCATATATCACGCAATTATCCACGGATATCCGACATATCTCAGGTAAAGCCAACATTATTGTCGACATACTTTCACAACTAGAAGAAAACAACGAGCTATTGACTTGGAAGTACTAGCGACGTTTGTCTTAAGAAAACGACGAGGAATTAAAGAATAAAAACTTTGACAACAGCAAACGATACTTAAGTTAAGAAGAATTATCAATTCCGGATCTTATGTAGAATATTCTTCGTAACACCATGTAATTACCTCGACTTTTCACAATTCAACTATTACATCTAAAAGTATTTCAATCTTTCCATGAATTAGTGCACCCAGATAAAAAAGGCACAACAAAATTTATAACATAGCGATATGTATGACTACGAATCTAGAGCAATTGCAAAGCGTGGGTTTAAGTGTATATTCCTTGTCAACAAGCAAAAATGTATTGTCACATGTATTCACCAACAGACAGCTTCGTAACACCGCATCAAAGATTCGAGCATATTCATATTGATATTATCGGACCTCTATCTATTCCAAGACAGTATCGATACTGCCTGTTCACAATTGTGAACTGCTTTACGAAGTGACCAGAAGCTATTGCGATCCCAAATATCACAGCTAAAACGATCACATGGCATCTATTCCATTGCTGGATAACAAAATACGAAGTTCCTGCGAGGGTTACAACAGACCAAAGACAAAAATTCGAGGCCAACTTGTTCCGAGTTTACATGACTTATGGAAACATCATATTGGCAGGAAATATTACAGCAGCATACCACGCGACAAACGGAATGATAGAAAATTTTCATTGGCAACGGAATGCAGCAATTATCTGTTATCAAATGCATGTTATCGGAAACATGGATAGAAGTTCTGTTAGTAGTTTTCATAGATCCGGGTAGCATATACAGAAATCCTTTAAGCAACATCCGTAGAGATAGTTTATAGAGAACCAATCTAACTACCAGAAAAGTTCCTAGAAGAAAGTTGTAGCACAGAAACATCAGGTACGAACAATATTATATAAAATCTTCGTCAGAATATGAAGAAATTTTGCCTATAACTGATACAAAGGCACAAACAGCCGGTGATATTCGAATATAAAAATTTAAATGCTGATTCACATGTTTTTCTAAAATAAAATGCGTTCCCACGCATGCAATTCAACTAATATATGATCGTACAAAATATTCGGATACACTTCGAAGTTCTTTAAAATAAAAATTAAAGAACGTACAACAAACATCTTGCAGTCTATAGACTTAAGTCAACCTGTATTATGAGAGAAGAAAATATATATAAACATAAGATTCATAAGAAATAAAGCAATTACAGATGGATAATGGAACCGAGAAGACAAAAACTAGAAATACTATTCCGTCCACCGGTTCGATTCAATTTGCGGATTTTCAATCAACGAAGGAAGTAATGTGGCAGACACATCGCCATGGATGCGCCATATCTGAAAAGCGCAGTCATCCGAGCTCATAGTGACCGTAGGCATAGACCGCCTCTCTCCCTCCTCTCTCCCTCTCGCCCCTCCCTTATATCTCCCTCCCTCCTTCTCTCTTCCCTCTCCCATTACCCTCCTTTCTCCCTCTCTATCTTTCCCCCTTTCTCTCTCCTCTCTCACCTCCCCCTCTCTTTCTCTCTTCCTATCTCTCTCCCTCTTTTTCTCTCAGAATTAAAATCCACTCGGGCTAACATAAAAGTAGCACGCTCGGAAGAATCAACTTATTATATTCAATGAGGTCAAGCTTATATGCACGCCGGGAAGAATCGAGTACCTTGGACTTCAACCATGTACACTAGCATATGTAATTCAAGCGTAAACCAATTTTAAAAAACTGGTCGTAACGACGCTCGACAGTCAGTAGAGTAGCAGCATTCCTAGGTACGTTCATATTTTCGACCAGCAATGGCTTCGCAACAGCGCTTTTCTTGTTGCAACAAACGACATATTCTTCGGTAGCAAGTGGCCCTCTCTGCAGTAGCGAACCATAATTACTTCCTCATCGCAATAAGCGACCTTTCTCTGCAGCAGCGCATCGTAGTTACTTCTTCGTTACTTCTACTTTCGTTGCAACAAACGACGCATTCTTCAGTAGTTCTTTACCTTGTTGGAACGTCAGCGAAGGCAAAATCATCAAAGTCAAGCAACTTCTAGCATTCTTTGCTACTTAAAGAATGACCGAGCGACTTCACCGATTCAAAGGCCAGAGGAGAAGAATAAGAAGGGGACATTACAATATATACCATCAACTCATTTGAGTCACTCATATACAACTACCTATTAATTGGCACGAGAAAGTATTATGAAAAGTTATATAGGAATAAATATATTCTCCAATGAATGAGTTATATAGGAATAAATATATTCTCCAATGAATGAGTTATATAGGAATGAATATATCTCTCCAAACATGAAAATATTTATTTGTGAGATTCTTATCCACACTTACTAAAATATAGTCTTTATCAGGAAATTAATGTTATAAAATTAAAAGTATTGAGAGTGTGCATTAATTTTGAAGGATTTTCAAGAGATGGCGTAATTACTATATCGTATCGGACCATATTGTTACTACCTTCATGTCAAAGCATCATTATGTGGCTTTAGTTTTCAGTATGTGTCATTTTGCCGTGTAAACAACATTGCTTTTTTGAGCATTAAATATGTCGAATTTTGTGCCAACAAAACGCAATTTGCGGGAAGCTTTGCTTTTTGCTTTTATTTGGAGAAAAGTGCTGCTGAAAGTCAACGAATGCTGTCCGAAGCTTATGATGATTATACTCCATCGATTTCAACATGTGAGTACTGGTTTCGACACTATAAAAAAGGTGATTTTGACACGGAAGACAAGGAACGTCCAGGCCAGCCGAAAAAGTTTGAAGATGAGGAAGTGGAAGCTTTACTCGATCAAGACCCGAGTCAAACGCAAGAAGAACTTGCAGAATCATTAACTGTTGATCGATCAACAATTTCAAGACGTTTGAAGGCCATTGGAATGATTCAAAAGCAAGAAAATTGGGTGTCGTACGAGTTGAAGCCGATGGACGTCGAAAGGCGCAAAATGAGCCGTGAATTGTTGCTTCAAAGACACAGAAGAAAAAGTTTTCTGCATCGTATCGTGATGGGTGATGAAAAATGGATACGCTACGATAATCCGAAGCGCAAAAAATGGTGCAGGCCAGGCGAACTAACATCGACGTCAAAGCCGAATATTCATGGCGCCAAACTCATGCTCTGTATTTGGTAGTATCAGCTGGGTGTAGTGTTAATACACTACACCCAGCTGATTTTACCAAATATAGAGCTGCTTTAACCCAACGAAACCATCACTGGGGAACGCTACCAATTACAATTAATGCATTTGAGTCGAACATTGAAGCGAAAGACCCGGATTCTCGATATTTTACTCTTTCTGGAACGAAAAAGATACGCAGATCTCGAACGCACGGCGTCCCGCCGCCACCTAGTATACCCTCCTCCTTCTATGGCCAGATTACGCAAAAAGACACGACAAAGAGATTTTCCAGCCAGACAACGCTCGGCCACATGTTGCAAAACTGGTCAAGAAAACATTAGAAGCGCTTAACTGGGATGTCCTACTACACCCGCCGTATTCTCCAAATATTGCTTCTTCCGATTACCACCTATTTTGATCGATAACTCATGGCCTGTCTGAGCAGCGCTTCCATTTTTAGAGGATACAAAAAAATGGGTTGATTCTTGGATAGCCTCCAAAGACGTGTCGTTCTTTCGACGTGGAGTCCACCTATTACCAGAAAGATGGGAAAAAGTAGTGGCTAGCGATGGACAATATTTTGACTAATCAATTTGTAACCATTTTTTTACAATAAAGCCGTATTTTTACTTAAAAATCTCTTAAAATTAATGCACACACCTAATAATTAAAAGAATATAAATCTGTTGTTGGCTTATAGAAATAAAACACGCATAGAGGACTAGTTTCAATAAATTTTTTCAGAAATTAGAAATTGTGTCATAGTTCTTATAACAGTCTTGAAACTGACGTCAGAGATTGTTAATGGTGAAAATCAACGAATGAACGAGAAGGACAAAATAAATAAATTAAGCGTAGTTCTTAAAAATTGTTTTGGAAGATACTAAATATTAATAAATAATAAAAATATTTACAATATGTTAATTCTAAATCAGAAAAGTTAAAAGATGAAAACATTTCTAATTTCTAATTTACTTTTTTTTCAAGGTACTAGCAAGCTGCGAACCAACGATGCACCACTTTCTCCGTTGTCGCCCACAATTTTATTTTCGCGACAGTTATCTAATGATCGTTGCCGACATCCATCGTATGATGTCGCATATAAGCCAACAACTCTGATTGAAACATCCAAGGCACAACATTTACCTGATTTAGTGAAGGAATCTAATATCTTAAAATCGAAGACAGCACCTAATATATGCGGTGAATCGATGGTAAACAGGGAATTATTTGAGAATCAAATGTTATCTCATCAATCTAACAATTCGATGCAGTATAACATGGAAAAAAAGAAGAGTTCTCAGAATTTGGAGAACATCATTTCAGAAGAGAATAACGATTTTAGACCGCGTAGTCCATTACACGAAACATCTATTGTTGTTCCTGAAGTAAACTGGAGTAAAAATGACAAGAATAAAAATGATAGTTCAGGCGATTCTGAGATAGATAGTGATTCATTATCTTCGTCTGATTCTAACGAAATAGCTGAGAATGATCAACATATTGCTGTAAATTTTTCACCACCTAGATTAGAGATTCATAGCATTGATGGTAATCTCCTACTGGACGATGGAACTGACCAATGCAAAGTTTACAATCCTGATGATAGTCAAACTTTTGAACCAGATTCTATTGAAGTTTCATTTTTGCGAGATCGCCAATTATTTAACAGGTCACAAAGTAATTTATATATCGAAACATTGAATAACAGTATAGAAAAGTTAAACCTGCGGGATAATACTAACAAAAGCAATTGTAGTAGTTCTACTTCCGAACCATCAACAGCGTCTAATAAACAGGATGATTCTGAAGAAAACGATGTTACTACTGCGGTTTTTACAGAGACAGAATTTTCTGAATGGGCCCGAGATGGAGAAGTTTTAGTTTCTGATGACCTCTGCGATGTAGAACTCAACATTGATCCTAAATTCATTACTATACGAAAAAATAATTTATCATCTTTTGAGAAGTTACCTCCTACATCTGTTAAAATTGCCGAGGAGGAAGATATGGAGTCCGATTATTCTAAAATTGACCGAAAAATTGGTTGGGAATGTCCAAGTAATAGCACATCAAAATTACTGACTAACAATGAGAACATCGATTATATGGACACAGATAATGAATCACTGCTTGATGACAGCCTTCAAGACGCTTCCAATGTTGCAATGCTGAGAAACCGCGGCTATATTGAGTTCGTAAATGTTAAAACCATGAACATTCCTACTGTAAAAGAGTCGAATAAACCGGTTGCTGATGCGCCGATAGCAAAATTGGAACCGGAAAATGACTTGTATGGCGAAGAAGAAGAAGAATGCTTCAAAGACGCAAATGTAATTGAGATAAATCCCGTCACGATGGAAGATGTAATGGACAAGCTAAGTGGACTTATGAAAAAATCATCACCAGTACAGTTAGAAACTCAAATAGAAACTACAAAAAAATTTGAAGATGTGTTTAAAAGTGATACGAAGCAAGAACAATTAGTAGAAGCATTTAACAATAAATTGCTTCAATCAATGGAGGAAGATAGTCTATTGTTAGTAGAATTAGCAGAAGACACAACTACTAGTGAGATTGTTACAGTACTTGCCAGTCCAGTTAATCCTGAAATGTCTATAGTTTCTGGAGAAACGGTAGAAAAGAAAGAAGAATTAATCAAAACGGATTGTAGTAATCCAGACTATATGGAATATGTAAAAAGATTGCAATCCAGAATCGCAGAGTTTAGCAATGCAAAAGATTCTATCGATGTAAGAAAATCGAAGCGTAAGAACTCAAAGAATGTAGCGCAAGCATGTATCACAGATATGATCGTTGAGGAAATCAAATATAAAAAAACAACAACCGTGAATGATAACGTAAATTCACCAACAACTTCGAGGAAACTCGAAGAGATTACCAGAGAGAGGTCCAAGCAAAAAAATGTTATCCAAGACTTGCTGATGGATAAACTTGAAGCTCATAAACAGAAATCAGCCGAGAAGAAAGCTCGAAGAGCTGCTAGGGCCTCATCTTTTGCCACTGTGCTATCACAAATGAAACCATCACTTTCCTATACTATTTCTACTGGTAATAAATTTGTGCCTGCTTCTATAGCAACTTCCCTAAATAATAAAACTAATATGTCTTATGAAGAAGCAAATAAACCAGTGAGTCTTCCTACTTCTTCTCATTATTACGGAAAATATAATGAAATAGAAGCCAGAAAAGAGATTGCAATAAGCATTGATCAACAAAAACAAAACCAATCGGATACGATAATTGTAAAACCGACAACAATCAATGTAGAAAATATATTTCAATCTCAAATTATGCCACTAAGGTTGAGCATTGAACAAACAAAAAAGATAATCGAAAAATCTAAGCAGAATGATAAAGAATGGACAAGAGTGAAAAGTGATGATAATTTGGAATTAAGAACTGAGAACAAAATCCAGGACATTAAAATAAGAGCAATACGACAGGAGCTTTCGGTGGAAGATACGAGAAAGAATAATGCATCAGAGATTAGAAAGACTAGACCGTATAGTTTTAGTACAATAGATAACTTGGGATTAAAATTACAAACCAGCAAGAGTACTGATAATATGAAAAACATTGCTAGTCGAGACAACTTTGAAAGACAACCGCCGGTTAATGCAAAATCGATGGATGAGTTATTAAATATTGCAGATTCTTTGACATTAGTCAATAATAGCGTGACGAAAAGAGATAAGAAGAAGTTCAAGGACCCAGAAAGGAGGAAAAGTATTATACAAGCGGTGTCAGATTTCTTCTTTAAGAAAGAAAGTAATCCATTACCCAATCAAAAGGACAAGTTATCGATGTTCCGATTAACTTCAAAGACAAAAGAAAAAGTAAGTATTTAATAGTTATTATTAATATTATTATTTGCTTTTTGGTATCATTATCATAATTGATAACAGCAAGGTATAAAATAGGCTATTTTTATAGCCGACCTTAGGTATTATAAAATTATCCTAGTAAATAAGAAACATAAATCTACATTTTTTAACATTGATGTTATGTTAATTTTTAATCGTTTCTGAATAATGTTTTATAAATGTTTTATAAATATTACTTAATATAACGTTGATTTCTAAATATTTTAAAATCATGAGAATATTTTATTAATTTTATGATAACACATTTATTAGAAGTAAATATAATAAGGTAATAATTTGTACACATAGAGAAGTTAATTAATTATGTGTCTAACTTAACCGCAAACGATGTTTAGTATAGTATTTCCCAGCTAGAACAACATATTCTGAAATAATCCTGAATGTGTTCAGGAAGCTTTGGGACATTCCCCAAAACATTCCCCTTCAAAACATTCTATATTTTAAGATAATTCTAGAATGTTTTATGTTATTTATGTTAGAATATAATGAACTCGTCAGCGATATTCCATTTAAATCAAAAGTTATAAGTATAATTGGGAAATAACATTTATTTTTTCTGTTAATATAATTTAAATGATATTAAAATTTAAATAATTTAAATATTTTGATAACAAAAATAATGAGCATAAAATTTCTCATGTATATTTAGAGCTCTAATGGTAAAATCAAACATATATGATAGTAATAAGGCCATTAAGAGCTAAGTGCTGATGTTCATGCTAATGTAATGTAATGAGAGAGGATAATAATGTTTGCAGAATCACACATTCCAGTGACAAAACGACCCCAATCCCCCAATTTTTTGTGATTTCTAAATAACCCCCTTATTTGTCTAATATATTTAACACGCGTTAATTCTTCTTTATATTGTGAAAAATACTGCCTTAGCCAGAAGTCGAACCTGGACCTCCCCACTTGCCAAGCGAGACACCGTACCTATTCGGCCACCGAAGCTTCGACAGTATTCTTCGCAACACTGAACGCTTATAAATTGTTGTTATTGAGAATGTTAATATACTATACGCTCCTTCGGCCAATGTTTTTCAAAGAATTAAAGGGAGATATACACCTAGGAGCCGGAAAAAAAGGTCATCTTTGTGAATTTTTTTAAGGAAAACTATTTGAAATTTCGGATTGGGGGTTTTTCTATCTAAAAGTATACACATTCAGGAATATGTCCAATTTTTTTTATTAAAAAAAATAAAAAATTGACGAGGTTGTGGTATAATCTTTGGAGCGCCGTAAAAAAATCCGGGTAAACGGTACCCACTGGCGTTTCTTCAAAAATCATCTGAAACAAAAAAACCAAAAAGATTATTAAATTAGATACTATAATCTAGTACTTGTCATGGCCGATTTTGAAAATATCGATTTATGACAAAATGGCGGACGTTTGAACATAACATAGCGATTTTTCGACCAAAAATTAGTTATTATTTTGCCTATAAAACAAAAACTAAGCAACGAAA